ATTTACAAGTAGAATACGTCCAATCCGATTGGAACGCTGGGTATACTACTCTAACACCACCAACTCCTCTTCCACCTCCTCAGGACCAACTCCCGAGGCCTCAGTTTCTATCACTGGCTCGTTCACTGCTACGATAGCCGACATCGGTGGTATGACGGGTTGCTCACCAACGCCAGCGGGCGACTCCAGAACAGGTTCTCTAATTGGTTCCTGCTCAGATGTTGGTTCATTTTTTACGTTCGACGGGCCAACAGTTGCAGCCCGAGAACTGTGAGGATTCTTATTCCATGCTTTCAACAAATTTTTGCGTCCAGCCATCTCGGTTGATCGCAAGTCTCTGTTTTTGCCGATTTTGTTCTTCAAATCGAAATTGGGATTTTTCTTCCTATATTCCTCGGCATCTTCAATAGTTCAAAAACCAAAGTAGCCGAGCAAAGGATAATAAACTGTCAAAAGAAAAAGACACCCGGTCAGTATTATTTTGGCAAAATCTAACTATATCTTCATTTATAAACAAACAAATTCTGCTTACCTAGCAAGAATGATGGGTCAAGTACACCATGGGATAAACCCGCAAGCTCCAACCGAGAATCCCTGACTAAGCGCTGGTACCTTCGCTTTTGCGGCGAAACGTCAAATAACTTATCTACTCGATTATACAGCTCGCCTTCAAACTGAGGTTCCTTCTATTTCTTCGGTTTCGCTACAAATGTCAAAAAAGGTCCACCTGTTAGTACAAGCAAAAAAGAAACTACTGATAACATCGAAAATAAAAGGGAAACCAAGAACTTACGATAAGCGGATTTAAAAGACATTGGGATGGTTTTTCCATCCACTAAAAGTTCGTTCAAGAAGTCAGATCACTCCCATTCCCCGCCAAACCATAACCACTCCTCTTGAAATCCATGAAGAGTATCAGGGACCTCGGTTATCAACTCCCCAACTTAACTCTTGGCTGAGGCTTCCTAGAAATAAAGAAACAAAAGAGCGGATCCATTACCTGCCTATCTGCACCCTTTCTAAATGTAAACATACTCATCATCTCGTTTGCCGAGGACAAATCCCATCCCTTCTCGGCAAATAAAACTAGCAGTCCTATTACTCGTTTCCAAGTATTGGGAGCAATTTGGCACAAGGCTAATCCCCAGTCACGCAAATACTCAGTGATTATGCGCGGGAGAGGGAACCTTAAGCCCGACCTCAAACTTTTCGCAAAAACACCAACACACCCAGAAGGAGGACAGGTAATCCTCTCTCCGGGGTAAGGAGCAAAAAGTCTTATAGATGGAGGAACCCTCACGTCCTTTCGCAGCAATACGATGTTTGCGTTCGTCAATATGCTCGATTCTCCGTGAAAGTCTAATTCAGGGTCTGTCCATACGCGAGCAGGTCGTCTCCAATGCTCCACCGACAAGACCGCGCCTTCCTCAACCTTTCTATCCCCCTCTTTATTATCCCATCGAATGTCGAGATGTTCGACATACAGATGATCCCACCTATGATATTCCGCTAACAACTCCATCTCTCGGAAAGCCACCATGTTCACTATCATTATTCCATGTCACTATCACTCGACGATGCCCACGACAATTTCATACTGACGGAAGCACAAATAAAACAGAAATAGAATAGAGAATGAAACCGACGGTATTTAAATGCTTACCACACGAAGAAGATCTCTGAGCAAAAAAATTGAAGCAAAAAAGCGAGCGAAATTAGTAGAATCAAGTGAATTAGAAAAAGAAAGAAGCAAAGCACTAGGAATTCAAAGGTAAAATCATCAGTAGATAAGGCTACAGTATTTATAGCAAACCCTAAAGATAACCGTTGAAAAGATAAAAGAGGGGCTCGTGACATCCATCTTTTAATCGCCGCAGTATTGCATCGTTTCAACTTCAGATTCATCTGAACTATTTTTCGTCGAGTTTTGAAACGTCGGATAGCTGAGAAATATTAAAGAAAATTACCGACATGTTCAAAGACGCGAGCAATAGACGACGTCATACGACATCAACACCCGTTATGTCCAAACGCCTATTGATCCCGGGGGGCACCTTGTTGACATAATTTTTCGTAATCATCAGAGAAAGAGCAATTAAGGCGATAATCCTACACCAATTACAGTCCTAAATGATTTCAAGTGTGGATCAACCGCTCTATAAATAGTAGTTTTACTCATTTGTAAAAGCACTTTTGACTTCCGAATAAATTCAATAATACACTTACATGTTTTCATCTCAATCAACATATTTCATACCGACATCTTTCGATACCATCAATCTCTAATTTCAAATCATAGTGTGATTCTACGACATAATCACCGTTGTTAAATTCGTTTAACAACAATGTCGAGTGCGGACGCGTGAATGCGCTCGCCCTGAAAAAGAAAATTAAAAATCATTTCTTGATGTATCAAAAAAATAAGTAAAAAGTAGAATATATGTCAAATAATTAATAAGAGTAGCATATAAAAATAATTTCTACCTTGACATCATGAAACACAAATTCTAAGCTCGATTCTCTTTTTTTGGATAAAACCTAATTAATCTCAAAATTGTTGTTTTGTTTTTGTTTTTAGCAAGATAAGTGAGATTATCAAAGTAGGAAGCCATTTGTAGAAGAGTTTTCTGTGGCTGAATTTTGAAATAAGGGTGATTATTGTTTTGTGAAATGAAGTGATTATAATATGAAAAATGGTTTAGTATTTACAGGGTCCAAAAACGTGTGCATTACTCCATGATTTTTGCTGAAAAATGATTGTCCATTGGTCAAAATTATTTAATTACATGAAAATCATGATTAATGTGTATAAAAAATATTTAATTACAAAATTCCATGATCGATGGTCACCAATAATTGCAAATCCCCCCCAAAAAATGAATGAGAATCTGCAATTTTTTTTATATTTGTATAGTTTGACATTTTATTTTTTAATTTTTCCTCCTGATATTACATTAATTGCTTTAATTTCATAATTATGTCGTATGTATATATATATATTGCTCGATTTTATGTGATATCATTAATGTTTTTCTTTTTTCGATAATGCAGGCAGATATACAGGATTAATGAGCTGGAATATTGCATTTTTTGTTGTATTTACTGGATTTTAAATGCAAAAATGATATATGTAATTATTTTTAAATCAGCTCGATTTGTTTTGAACTGGGTCATTCTGGTCTTCAATGAGTAAGTCTGCTCTTTAGGTCTTATGTCGACCTCTTCATTTCTAGGACGAATTTCCACCAGGCTAATCAAGAACTCTAGCTCGACTGACTTGGTACTCTAGTGGCCCCGAATCTCCTCGTTGTTCGACATCTGGTCAACCTACTGGTCTATTTGAACCGCTCAAGTTGTTATTAGGTCATATATGACCTAAATCTCCCATATCACCAACATTATAGTTAATTTTGACACCATTTTTTCTTCCAAAACTCTATACTTCCTTAAATCAACTATTGATGTGGCTATGTTTAATATATTAGTAACTAATGGTCAAACCAAAATCTGTTTCCTGAATTTCGGGAGGTGACAAGAGGATATTTAATTAATTTGGGGTTTAGTTGCTAACAATGAAGTCACATAATAAGCTAATATATTTAAACTCATTTATATCATTTTCTAATTCTGACTATTATAATAAGCAGTTAATTTATATATAGAATAGCTTTCCTTTTTAACTCGAAATTCGTTCCAGTTAAAGGATATCTAACATCGCCAGAAATAGGAAATCAAATTGATTTCATACAAATTAGGTACACAAGGAAATTAATATTTAGAGTTTGACCAAAAGCCACGCCCGACCAAATAATAAATGCATACACGACTACATTAATTAAATAATTACCTGTAATTATATAGCAACATATTATTATATATATAGATAAAGCCGCATATATTATCCATTATCCATCACCCTTATATATATTATAATAATATAAAATCAAGCTTAAAATAGGGTTGGATTAATGACACAGCACAAGCTGTATTATAAACTGATGATGAGCAGCATCCTATTACAGATTAAGATTATAATAAATATTACTAATAACAACTATATATATAGTAATACGCATAATTAAGTAAGTTGCCCCAGCTGGCCCTAATAGATTAATTAATTAGTAGATAGTAAACATAATAAGGATTATTATTAATTAAGAGGTGGTGGGGAATCTGGCGGCGTAGGAGTTGAGGGTGAGCTCCAGCGAAGTAGTCCTTGAGGCGGCAGCAGCGGCGGCAATGGTATCTTCCGGGCGGCGCTGTTGGTGGTGCCACCCTGCTGCTGCAGCACTCATCAAGTAATTATTATTATTGATATAATTATAATTATTGTTATAATAATCATAATTAATTTCCTGGGAGTGGGAGTGGGAGTGCTTGATGATGTCGCCGTGCATCGGGAAGAGGGGAAGGGTTTCTCTCTCCTCATGTTCTTCTTCTTCTTCATCATCATGATCATGATCATGTTCTTCTAGGGTTTGGAGGGCAGCCGTATAATTTCCTTTTGGGTTCTCGAGAAAAGGGTAGGCCGAAGAAGTGGAGTAGTAGGGATAATCAACATGACCTATCCATTTCAAGTTGTGGTGATGATGCCCATGCCCCCCGCCGCCGCCGCCGCCGCCGCCGCCGCCCCCCATATTTGCACTGTTGCTGCTTGGGTTGATTGAAAATTCCTGTCCATATTATTATTATTTTTATAAAAATATTTGTGAAAACATAATAATATTGAAAATTCAATAATATATATAATTTGGACAAAACAAATATACATATATACATACATATATTTCGTTGGTGATGTTGTTGGTTTTTTTTTTTTTTTTTTTAAATTAATTGAGGAAAAAATAGTAAGGTAAAAAAAAAAGAGAAAGGTGAAATACTCACCCGGAAGGTGTTTTCTCCATAGCCATAATTTGGTCGAGAGAGCAACGCAGGAGACGGAGAAGAAGAAGAAGAAGAAGGGAAATTGAGAGGTGCTGCAATTCAAATAAAGAGAGAAGATACATTATTAGTATTATTATTATTATTATTAAGTAAGAATGGTGTGTGTGTGTGTGTGTGTTTGTGTAGAGAAGATAATAATTTTAATTAATAATGAAAGAAGAAATAGGTACGGTTAGCGGTGTAGAGAAGTGGGTGTTGGTGTTGGGTGGCGGTGAAGCGCTTCTTCTGGCGCTCACGGGCCTTGTGGTTCTGAAACCAGTAGAAGACATTCTTGCCCTCGATCTTCCCGTAGTGGCGGAGCTTGGCTGAGATCCTCTGAATCTGGTCCGCGCTGGGGGAGCGCACCCCGTTGTTGTAGTAAAGCTCCTTGAGGATCCTAATCTGCTCGCTCGTCGGGCTCCACCGACTGCTGCTACTGCTCTGCCTGCACACATACCCTCCTCCACTCTTTCCTCCTTCCACAACTTCCTCATGATGATGATGATGATGATGATGATGCTCCTCCATTCTTCTTCTTCTTCTACGAATGAATGATGTACTAATATTGTGAATGAATGAATGAATATTTGGGTTTGCTGCAGAGCTGGTGTGTTGAGTTATAAAGAAAACAAGGTTGGGTGGGGGGAATTGTGATTAGAAAGAAGAAGGGGCATGCAATGCACATCACATGGAGGGTGATAGTGACAGACGCACAGAGGATCAAGGGGATATCTGGGAGAGAAGGACTGAAGTTGACACACCAAGCCAAGGGACAAAACAGGGACTATAATAAAACATACACTACTTCACACACACACCACCTTTTTTCTCTTCCATCTAACTTAACTTCTAACTACTATAATATATTATTCGCTTCCATTCCATCCACACTTAATTTTAGTCGGGACATAGCTCCAAATACTATGGCTGACTACAAAAAAAAATAACATCTTTTTTTTATTCTCTCTCTCATACATATGTCATACATAATAGTAATATTTTACACAAACCATTAATATTTGTCACTTCTCTTTTGAATCATCAATGTTATAAAGCTTTGTCATGGCTTTTCTGATTCAAAAAAAAAAAGTGAGAGAAAGAATGATTGAGAGAAACTTTAATTCATTCAACAAGGTTACTTCACTTTTCAATGCAGATACGCAGATATTATAATTATTATATATCCATATTTCCTTCTTCTCTCATCACATGCACACTGCGGAGCGAGCTCCATGTAATTTTTTGCTAACCTTATTTATGCTAACTTTATTTTTTAAAAAAATTTATACATTGACTCATTAACCCAATGTAATTTTTTATATAGTCCCATTTAATTTGGGCTAAATGCCTCAAAATTATCTTCAGGTCAAATTTTTTATCTGACAACAATTGGTGGAAAAATAATGATTGTAGTGAGGAAAAAAGATAATCATTTATTGTCAAATGACAATTGTGACCTTTTTACCAATTGGGTTTATAATATGGGCTAACACACTCTTGCCTTTTAAATTTTTAATGGGTTGAATTGACTAATATCAAATGAGCTGGATAATTAAGATTGACGCATACTTCTCCAATGGGCTATTTAATTAGGTTCGTCTCATTCCACAGTCCGTTATCTATTTTCAGTTATTTATTTATTTATTTATTTATTTTGTTGATTTCGCCTCCAATAATTAATTCGGCATCATTTCCTAGACGAAGAGAAAACTCGTACAAAGTTGATTGTAAACATGTTCAACTCTATTTGTTTGATCGACAAGTTCGATTAGCTATTTGAGTTTGGCTTGTATAAATATATAAGCAATTCGAGATTGAGTTTTCTCAATTCAAACCGACATATGTTAACAGATATTTGTTTCTAATCATAATCAAAACATGTTACGAGTCGAAACCGTCGAGCCGAGAGTTGGAGGACCCTGAACCGGCGCAAACATATGTACGGTCGGTTCATTGAATTGTCGGTTACTGGTCGTCCAGTTCATTAAACAAATAAAAAATAATTAAAATAATATTTTTTATAAAAAAAGGGCAAACCTCGAGTTCCGGTTTCAATTCAGAACTGAAACTGCATGTTCAAAATGTATAAAGTATAAAGTATTGTACATGAACTGAACTGGTCCAAATTACGAGTCGGTTCAAGACTCACGATTAACGGGCCAGTTAGTGTCGGATCGGGTCGAACCGACAAGTTGGGTCGGCCCATAACCATGTCTACACGGTTCCAAGTAATAATTACAATAATATACAGTCCCTCGTAAAAAAAATTCTTCACCACGCCCCCAAGTCTTAATTAATTTCCATACATATAATATTTTTCTACTTTGAAAAACCCAAATAAATTATTAATCATATGCCTATATTAGGGGTGGGCACGGTTCGGTTAACCGAACTTTTTGAGGTATTTGCTAACCGAACCGAACCGAGCAAATATTTGAACTCGCTAACCGAAACCGAACCGAAAATCTCGGTTAACCGAATTTTCGGTTAACCGAAAAAAATCCTACTATTCGCGAATTAACCGAACCGAACCGAACCGAGCGAACCTAACACAAATCTGTTTGTTCGCAAATAATAAACCGAACCGAACCGAACCGAACCGAAAACATTAATATAAATACAATATATAATATATAATATATAATATAATATATATTTTATAAATTTTAATATAATATACGGTTCGGTTCGGTTAACCGGAGTAAAAAAATCTTAAAAACCGTAACCGAACCGAACCGAGCAAATACTTCATTTGAGGTATTTGTAACCGAACCGATTCCCCCGGTTAACCGAAAATTCGGTTCAATTTCAATTCGAATCTACGATTCAGCGGTTCGGTTCGAATTTTTTACCCAACCCTAGCATATATATGGGGTAAATAAACCTGCTCCACAAAATTCCTAGTGCTTTTACGCAAACTAGTCGTGACAGAGAGAGAGAGAGAGAACATAAAAAAGTATATGGCTGGCTCCCGTGGTTAATTACTTTACTTGAATATCATATATATCTAGTAAAGTGCATGCTGTTATTTCAACAGAGCTGAGGTCATACTAAACTATTATTGGCCAGGGTAGCATTTATGTCGCCTTGCTTTGCCTCGCTCAATTATATTTACTCGCTCTTTTCTTTTTCTCATTCTTTTTTTTTTTAATTTATATCCAAAACAAAATATTCAATCCTCTCCGCAGCAAAGGAGTATGTGAATACACTCTGTCTGATGAGTGTGAGCGCGGCGCCCATCTAAATACAATTGCAATCATTACATTCTCGATCTCCGTCCCACTAAAATACTTTGTAAGTCCAGCTAATTTTTTCCCGCCTAATAAAAAGTTAAGTTTTTCATCTCAAATAATACGAAAACATATGCGATGAACTTGTGATAGATAGACGACTGGGATGAGCATGGATGAGAAAACTATTAGTTAAAGTATGCGACAGTTCTGCGACGAATATGTAAAGATTCGATGTACGATTCGGTCAATCGCGGTTCGTCGCCTATTAGATAATTATTCTTGTTAGGCGAATGAATTTGCGACTATTAGTCTAAAAAATTATTCTACGACAAATGCGACATACAAACGTCGCATATTATTCACCGAGTTGGTGCATAATAAATTTCTTTTGGAAAATTCTAAATAGTTTAGAAACCGCTAACAGTTGGAACGTTACAGTCGATTTCGAGGCGTCTTTTCGGCTTTTCGAAACGCCTAGGCAGTAAAAGCGTGCACGCGAATAGTTTTATCCGTCTACATAAAGCGTGTAATTTTCGATCCTTATCATGCCCCTTATCTTTCTTCCCATCTGGCCCCCAAAATTCTTTGGTAATGGCCCTTCGTTTTTCCCTTCTCTTGTATATGAGAAGCAGTTCGTCAGAGATAAACCAGAATGACAAAAATTCTTTCTTTGGACCCGTGAGGCAATTCTTTAAGATTACTGTGTCCGAATTGACAACTCCTAACTTTCCAAATTCGTCGGAGGAAAAATTCAACGAGCGGAAATTTCGCTATCCAACTTTATTAACGTGGCCCCCGGAGGAAACATATATGCCCGAACAACGACGATGAAGATCAAACCTCCTGGTCTGGGTATTGCCGGATCAACTGTGGGAAGGTTGAAGATCCGGACGGCGCACGTCGGCGACCCTCTGTCAGAGGCATTGTTGGACTCAATCCTCTCGAGGTTATGGTCGGCCAGGTCTTCCTGACAGAGGAAAGTGGTTGGTCGGCGGGGTTCTCTTCCCGGAACCCGTCTGAGCCTATCGGTTGAGAGCGGGTCGTCGCACTCGTGGTGATCGGGGTTGAACTTTTGTTTGTAGAGTTCTACCTGGAACTTCAAAAACAAGCTCGGCCGACATGTCCTCTTTATGGAGATTGGCTGCTGTGGTAGCTCGTCGGCTCCCTCGTCCTAGCTTTTGTTAGGCTCGTTCTTTTTCTTTTTTTAACTTTGTAATCGGCTGGGATTGAAGCAACTGTAAAAGCAGTAGTGTAGGTAGGGATTTCTGTTTGATATTTTATTCTGCGAAATATAAACATCGCATATTATTCGCCTAGTTGGTGTATAATATTTTTTCTAGAATTTATTTTTTGTAAAATTCTAAACAGTTTAGGCTAATGAACCTGCGACAATTAGTCGAAACAATTTCGCATACCAACCGCACAACATTCATAGTATAATTGCGAAGAATTTTTTTAAACAAAAATTATTTTTAAAAATTTTCTATTCTGCGACACACATAATTGCGACTAACAAACGTCGCATATTATTCGCCGAGTTGGTGCATAATAATTTTTTTTTGTAGAATTTAATTTTTGAAAATTCTAAACAATTTATGCTAATGAACCTGCGACAATTAGACGAAAAATTTTTGCATACCAACTGCATAACATTCGTAGCTTAATCGAATATTTTTTTCTTAAAAAAATGTTTTTGTAAATTTCTATTCTGCGACACACATAATTGCGACATACAAACGTCGCATATTATTCGCCGAGTTTGTGCATAAAAAGTTTATTTGGTAGATTAATTTTTTTGAAAATTCTTGTTTAGGCGAATGAACTTGAGACTATTAGTCGAAAATATTCTCCACAACAAATGCATAACACTCATAGTATAATCGAAGAATAATTTTTTTAAAATTTGTTTTTGAAAATTTTCTATTCTACGACATACAAACGCCGCATATTATTCGCCTAATTGGTGCATATATTTTTTGTAGAATTTAATTTTTAGAAAATTCTAAACAGTTTAGATTAATGAACCTGCGACAATTAGTCGAAACATTTTCGCATACAAACCGCACAACATTCGTAGTATAATCGAAGAATTTTTTTAAACAAAAATTGTTTTTGAAAACTTTCTATTATGCGACACACGTAATTGCGACAAACAAACGTCGCATAATTCATTCCCAGGTCAACCGCATGATATTCGCATACACTTTTTTGTGTGAAACAATTATTATTAAATAATTATTAAATATTTTGTTTTCGAAATGGTTTGATACGAAAAATGTGGTTCTTTATGCGACC